TTCAGCCCAGGGTGTGATCCTGGAGACCTGGGATCGAGTCCCATGTTGGGCTCCCTGCATGGAGCCTGCTTCTCCCTCTGCCTGTGTCTTTACCTCTGTGTGTGTGTGTGTGTGTGTGTGTGTGTCTCGTGGATAAATAAATAAAATATAAAAAAAATTTAAAAAAAAAAAGAAAACCTGCAACAAAAAGAAAAGAAAACCCCTAACAGAAGCAGATCCATTCCAAGACATATGGTAATTAAAATGGCAGAATACAGTGAAAAAGAAAGAATATTAAAAGCAAGAAGACAAAAGAAGACTGTTACATGGAATTTTATTGCAATTCCCCTTTGCTGTAACACCCAAGCTCCTGATCATTTTCCTTTTTTCCAATAATGCTATCATACTGTAGTGCTAGTACCAATACTAATAAAATGCTGTTATTTTACAGAAGTATCCATCTGTCACAGATTGGAAACATTCACCAGAAGCACCATTGCTGACTCTGGCATTTTCTGCCAGAATAGCCTGAGCCGACTCAGGGGTCTCTGCTTTCCTCTCCTTCTGCTGTCCTGAGATCAGGCCCAGAGTTGGGCTCCAGCTCAGCAGAGTCTGCTTGTCCCTTTCCCTCCCCCCTGCCCCTCCACTCATGCGCATACTCTCTCTCTCTCTCTCTCTCTCTCTATCTATATATATATATATATATATATATTATATATATACACACACACACACACATATACACATATATACATATATAGATATATTTTAAAATCTAAAAAAAAAGAGGGGTACCTGGGTGGTTCAGTCAGCTCAGATCATGATCTCAGGGTCCTGAGATGGAGCTGCACATCGGGCTCCCTGCTCAGTGGGGAGCCTGCTTCTCCCTCTCCCTCTGCTGCGCCCCCTGCTTGTGTGCGCTCTCTCTGTGTCAAATAAATGGATAAAATCTTAAAAGAAAGAAATTGGGTGATAAGCATTAAGGAGGGCACATGATGTGAAGAGCACTGGGTGTTATACACAACTACTAAATTATTGAATACTACATCTGAAACTAATGATGTGCTATATGTTCGCTAACTGAATTTAAATTAAAAAAAATTTTTGGGGGCAGCCCCGGTGGTGCAGCGGTTTAGCACCGCCTGCAGCCCAGGGTATGATCCTGGAGACCCGGGATCGAGTCCCACATCAGGCTCCTTACATGGAGCCTGCTTCTCCCTCTGCCTGTGTCTCTACCTCTCTCTGTGTGTGTTTCTCATGAATAAATAAAGAAATAAATCTTTAAAAAAATTTTTTTTAATTTAAAAATTTTAAAAAAAGAAAGAACTACCACTCGAGATATTGCAGAACATCAGACAGGATGGGTTGGCCCCTCCTCCCATGCTAGTTCCAGGGACAAGATCAAGGACTATGTCTTCCCCTTCTCAGCATGAGGTTGGACCTAGACAGTGACCATCACCAGTGGTTGAGCAGGTCTACTGTAGTCTCCCTATGTCCTTTATATCTTCACAGAGCCGAGTTTCTGCTTTTCTGGGAGTTGTCCCTTCTGCTCCAGTAAAGACCAAGCTCCAGCTCCAGCAAAGCCACCTTAAGGGCCTTTCCCTGCCTGGGGAGCAGCCGCTGACCCAGGGCCCCTCCAACCAGTGCTCTGCACCCAGCACGTTCCCGTAGGAGGCACCCAATGCTGTGGCTGGTGAGTGGGGAGGGCATGCCCCATAGCCCCCTTGCAGGACCACAAGTGCACCCGGTGTCCCATGGCCCGGTGTCCCACATGTCCCACGCTCTGGCCCACACAAGTCACTGCCAGGCCCTGGGGGACAGCGAGAGCGTCCTTCTCAGGCTGTCTCCAGCCCCCCAGTCATGGCAGGGTGGACAATTTCTTCAGAATCTTCAGCCCAGGGGACCCCGGTGTTCTCTGTCCAACACTCATCTCTTAAGGGACAGCACCTTTAAGAGTTTTAACATCCCAGGTCCCAGAAATGTTTGGGAAAGCCTCCCTCTGTCAACCCATCCCGCTAGCATGGCAGCTGCCCCCAACCAGCGGGAGCTGGAAGCCCCAGAGGGCAGGCGGAAGGCCAGTGTCGGACGTGGTGCTTCACAGAGGACCAGCACCAGAGAAGGGCCGGCTCTCCTTTCACCAGACCCACAGCTGCCCCACCCCTGCCTTCACTGACCTCAGGCCTCAGCTCCCAGCAAACCCCTCCTCAAACAATGGTAGGCCATGGGTGTAGGCTTCCCGACTTTGTTCTGAAAACAGAGATAAGACGGAGAGTTCAGCCCCTCCCGTGGCCCCTGGCCCAGCTGCCACCACAGGGATGCTGCCAACAGCAGCTCCTTCCGAGAGGCCACTGCAGGCCCAGGCCTGGGTTTTCATCAGCAATCCTGCTCCCGCTGACCTGGAGCCACTGGCCTGTCCGCTCCAGCGAGCTCTCCCCGCCCCTGCAGGACCTGGGCAGGCAGTAGGACAGAGCTCTCCTTGCAGAAGGCTTTATCTCCTTCAGGGCCACGGGGCTGTCCTGACGCTGACTGGCTCACACCCCAGGACTAGCAGCTTAAGACATCACACTTGGACTCATCCCCGTGCTGTGCATCAAGAAGGGCGACATGTATCACACGGAGAATGGTGGCACCAGAGCAGAGGCTGGGGGCTCTCCTTGTGTCCTCCACACAAGCATGTTCACTGTGGAAGGTGTCCCTGGCTGGGCAGTGAAGGGCAGGATGTCAGAGAGACTCTTGGGCCTGGTACTGGTGACTAGATGGTACCCCGCCCACTGAAGTGGGGGTGCGGCAGGGGGAGCAGATGTTGAGGAGGATCATGTTCCATGTTGAATATGAGGAGCAGGTGGGTGACCCATGGGGAGAGGGCCAATGGAGAGGTGGGTACTGAGGTCCAGCAAGTGGGGTGAGGGGACAGAAACCCAATCTGGCAGTAATGACCATGATCTCCAAAATCTCATATAAACCACAGGGTTCAGTGGCCGGCACCTGAGGACCTTGACCAAACCAGAAGAGCTCAGAGCCAAATGGAGCCTTGGCCAAGAGGAGCAGGAGGAGCAGTAGGGACATCACAAGAGATCTAAAAAAAAAGGAAGAGGCTGGCCAAGTAAGATCAGGCCTAGACATTCTGGGTGGCCACACGAAGATCAAAGGTGATGCTAGCAGCTAGGGAAAGCATTTAGGCAAGACAACACACAGGCAGGGGGGCGGGGGGGGGGGACGGCTGAGGGAGCGGAGGAAAAGGGTGAAATTGGAGAAGCAGTACAGTGGGGGCTGCCCTCTTCTCCCCAACTCAGGGTGGTTGGTCTGCCACAGCTCAGCAGAGCAGATATAGCAAGCCCCAGCGGAGGAGCGGCTGGGGGGACCACAGCCTGTGGGGGGGGACCACAGCCTCAAAGGGGCAGTCACAGTGGAGGCCAGCAAGCAGCAGAGGCAGGAGGTCATCGTGTGGTGGGAGTGCTGGGGAAAGGACGGTCAAACCCTGGACTGAAATCTGGGGGGACACCGCTCCTGGGGACACGGGGTGCCCAGACTCATCCACAAAGTCTGGGAAGCCCTGGGGGACGGTGGGAATAGGGGGGTCAGACCGCATGCAGGGAAGTGGGAAGCTAAGGGAGAGCTGGGGGGGGGTCCTCCACACAAGCATGTTCACTGTGGAAGGCATCCCTGACTGGGCAGTGGAGGGCAGAATGTCAGAGGGCCTTCACAGTAGGGCCCGGCGAGGAGGGTCTCCATTCACCCAGGTGCAGGGAGACCACCCCTCCATGGTGGGTCATCTCTCCTCTTCCCTGAGGCCCCTGGTAGGTCAGCACTGGGGGCAGAGGCAGAGGGGCTCTGTCACTGGGGGAGGGAGGGGCAGCACTCTTTTGGTCCACAGGGAGAAGGAAGTTGTGAGCCATCAACATCAGGGAATTATGGCCTGTTTCCATGTCCTGGGGGTTCAGGAAGGAGGCGGGGGACAGGCTGCAGGCAGGTGCCCCGCTGTGTTCAGGGCCGTGTGATGCTTCACCTGTCCTGGCCCCCAAGACACTCATCTTGTCTCCACATCTCCCCTCCAGCCTGGTACCTGCTCGGAACTCCATCATAGAGAAGAAAGATAGTCAGTGATGGAAAAGACTGGCCAGGTCAGGGGTGGCCGGGCTGGGGGGGCGGTTGGAGACCAGCAGCAGCCCCCAGCCATCCTGGGACATGGTGCCCCCCTTCCATGCCGCAAAGTTCACATTATCTGTGAATCTGAAATTAACTTAGGCTCCTCAACATTCACTTCTGTGAAAAGCCAGGAAGATGCGAGGCTAGGAGGCCAGTGCCAGTGGGAAAAGCATGAAATCAGGGTAAAAAGTCAACATACAGTATTTACCTGGTTCTTTCCCCACCCATCTGGCTGTGTTAGGACTGTGTGGAGGGCTTATTTGCAAAAGCAAACAGTTCGAGGCCCTAATCGTGAAAGCTGTCATCCAAACAGAGTGCCCAGGTCTGCTCACTGCTCCGCTGTCCAACTGAGACTCCATCCCAGGCGGTGTGCAGAGACCAGCCAGACCGTTTTCTCCACCTCAACATAGATCTACCCACTCAATTCCACTTTAAAAAGTTTGTCTTTGCATTTACCACCAGCCTTAATTAAATATTAGAAAAGAGACAAATTGCACACTTCTCAGAAACTGGAATTTTATAAAAAGGCATTTTTTCTCTTATGTCCATAAAATGATAGAATTCTTGCAAGTATAGAAATGTGTCATAAATTATACAGAATGTTCCTTAATTACAGCTCAATGCAACTTGGTACTGCCTCCCTCGCTAAAAAATGAGAGAGAACCAAAAAAATAATATATATATAGCTGTATATATATATATATTTATATATTTATATAATATAGACAAATCAAATATGAAAAAAAATCATTTCCTCTTTGGTATAAAAATCAGACTCTCACCTTGAGAGACACACAAACACACATGATGTTGGGTTTGTAAACTGTGTGGCCAAAGGGACTTCCCTGTCAAGCTTCCCCTGCCCACCTCCCCCCACCCCCCCCACCTGGCCCACCTCCCTGGAGGCCCCCAAAGGACACCTGCACAGCTCTCCCCACTCCACACCAGTCCTTAGCACCTCCCATACTACCAACACTGAACTGGTAACAACTAACTCGAGAGAAGCCTCATTTGGGGTGTAGATGGTGGGGAGAAAGGACAGCCACACCGGACCCTGCCAGGCACTGCTACCCCAGCCCCCAACCCCATGGAAGCCAGCCAGTGGGTCCTGCCTCGCCTCATCCCCCTCCTCCTCCCACACCACTGTCTGCTGCCTGGACCATGCTGGGCCCAGAGGGCTGGGTTCCACTTGTTCAGTGCAGGAACATGCCAAATGGAGGAGGGAAGACAGACACACTCTGATGAACCCAGATCCACATCTAAAATGAACAGAATCTCTTTTTTTGGACTGCATCTTACACCCAGCTCAGTGAAAATGACGGGGAGCCCGAAACCAGCAGGACTCATGGGTCCAGGGACTGATACTTGTGTCAGGGGAAGGAACAGCACATCCCCCTCAAGGTGAGGAGGGAGTCAGCCTATCAGGGGGACAGTGCATCCCACCTCAGCCAGACCCAATAGAGGGCTCTGCAGCTGGATGGAGGTGCCCCTGAGCATCGGGATCCCAAGTCCCGCCATCCAGCCTGGTGGGGCGCTCCTGGGGGCCAGGTTCCTCTTTCCACAACACAGAAGTCGTTCAGAGGCCCCTTCCTCTTGCCAAATAAAAAACACAAAACCAAACTGGACATGACCACAAATCAAGGAGAGACATACACAACATGAGGGGCCCACAGGCCCCAGCAGGCCGCTGGCTTCCCGGCAGGATACATTCTTGTGTGATTCAGGAACAGGGGCTCTCGGCCCCTCTGGGGAGTGGGAGTAAAAAAATACAGAGATTACAGTCTCCCCAGGGGCTCCAGGCAGGGCAGGGGCAGACCAATCTCAATCTCTTCCCGGTTTGGGTTCCACATCTGATCCCTTCCCAAGGTGGCTCCTGCTGGCCCTGCCTCTGCACTGCCCTTGGGCCCCCTGTCTCCCAGCCCCCCCCGCCCGGAGATGCCAATGGGACACTCTGCAGGGAGGGATGCAAGCATGGCTGGGGGCCTGCAGTCCCAAGTAGCTGGCCCCTCACGGCTGGACTGCCCTGCGGTTGCCATCACTCCTTGAGAGGCTTGTCGGCCGCACCGCAGGGGCTGCTGGCACTGTCACTCTTCTTCCTGCGCAGGCTCTCGATCCAGTTGGAGCTGGAGCGCGTGGCAAAGCTGGCCAGTGCCAGGGAGCTGAGCCGCATGTTCTTGCCTGACATAATGAGCTCCCCGAAGCCCTCCTGGTGGGAGAAGGCGTAGCCCGAGCGACGTGAACTGGTGCGGCCCACCCGCCGCAGGCATCGGTGCTGGGCCTTCTGCTTCTTTCTCACCAGCTGGGTATAGCGGACCTGGTGGGGGGAGCGCAGGAGACGGGGCCACGTCGGTGATGGTGACGGTGATGGTGATGGGGCGGACATCATGGGCTGGACCCCAGAGCCTCTGGGATGGGAATCACTAGGGCCGCACAAATGATGGGCCCACAAACAGCAGGTGACCCTGTCAACACGCAGGCTCCCACAGCCAAGAAGATGCAGCCATGCGGCCCTGTGACATCCCGTCCTGGTCCCCAGTCCCCCAGATCCCTTTGCCCGACTGCTCACCGTGTCAGAGAGATCAGGCTTCAGACTCAGCTTAAGGAACCGGAAGGCGACAACAGGCATGATGCAGACGACCGTGGTGAGAGTGATGGTCAGCCACACAGTGGGCTGGGCCAGGGTGTTCTGGGCATTGCCTGGGGACGCAAGCAGCCAGTGGCCAAGGGGTCACAGGCAGACCAGGGGCGCCCTATTAGCCCCGTCTCCATACCCGAGTCCTCCCTCCTCCCCAGATGTCTGACTCCCTGGAATCTCGGGCTCATCTCCTTTCCTGGATGTCCCTGCCGTCACTCCCTTGTCAATCCTGATTCCTCCTACAACGCCGGGCTCCATGTCCAAACTTCCCCGGGGGAAGCGGCGCAGCTCCAGCCTCCCTCACCCCAAGCCCAGGTCACCATCTGAGCCTCCAAACTGGTCACCACTTTCCACCTTTGCCCTCAGAGCCGTCTCACCCAGAAAACCCTCACAGTGTCCTTTAAAAGTCACAGATGGATTTCCGGCACTTCTTGCTCATTACCCTCCAATGGCTTCCTATCATACTCAGATTAAAATTCAAAGTTCTGACCCTGAATAACAAGGGGTTAAGGACCTGGACCCATTTTTACCGCCCCACCAACCAGCCAGGCCCTGCCTTTGAACTCCAACCTAGAACCTCACTTCCTCCACATACTCCTCCTCCACCGCGGCCCTGCCTCCACACACCGCTTCACTGCAGCAGGGACCGCCTCCTCACACCCCTCCTCTGCCACAGGGACCTCTAGGCAAGCCCCCCCCCCCCCCCCCGCTCCTCTACTGCTTCCTCTTCCAGGCTCACTCTTCCTCTTTTTTTTTTTTTTTTAATTTTTTTAATTTATTTATGATAGTCACACAGAGAGAAAGAGAGAGAGAGAGGCAGAGACACAGGCAGAGGGAGAAGCAGGCTCCATGCACCGGGAGCCCGACGTGGGATTCGATCCCGGGTCTATCAGGATCGCGCCCTGGGCCAAAGGCAGGCGCTAAACCGCTGCGCCACCCAGGGATCCCTCACTCTTCCTCTTTATTCAGATTTCTCTGTACCAAAGTTCTCTCTCTTCGGAGGTTCTTCCCTGACTCCTCTCCTCTCTCTACCCTGCTTAATGGTTTTTTATAAGACTTTTTTTTTATAAGATTTTTATTTATTTATTTGTGAGAGACACACAGAGAGCAGCAGAGACACAGGCAGAGGGAGAAGCAGGCTCCCTATGGGGAGCCCAACGTGGGACTCAATCCCAGGACCCAGTATCACACCCTGAGCTGAAGGCAGGCGTTCAACCACTGAGCCACCCAGGTGTCCCTATAAGACTTATTAATTCTAGACGTTTCACCTATTAATCCATAAACTGCCCTTCTGTCTCCCTGAAACACAAAGTCAAAGAGAGCGAGGAGAGCCTGCTCTGCCAACTACTACATCCCCAGCACCCAGGACAGTGGGGGGCATACAGCAGGTGCCAACCACTCACCAAATGGATGGACAAACAGATCTAAATCCAACACACTGTGCCTCCCAAGCGGCCCTCTCTATCACCTCCAGCCCCACCAGCACCAGGGCTGAAAGCCCAGTCACTACGGTAGCTCCTCAATGACCATTAGATTCATCTTTTTAAACTAATCCTCTTTCTTCAAAACAAACAAAAACTCCTAGCAAAACCAATCGAAATCTGACAGCCTGGCATTCTGACCCCTCCCACTCCCTGGCTTTCTAGCCTCTCATCCAGCCCACTTACACTTCCAGCTCTCTGGCCTGGAATCAGACTCTTGTCCTGGCTCTGCTGGCAGCGGCCTCCCTGGAGGTTGTCCCTGACCACCCCGACCAGTCGTCTTGCTGACCATGAGGTCTGCCACCACTTGACCTCCCTTTGAGCCTGACTTCCATGTCCTGGCAGGACTTTCTTCACTTTAGTGGACGTGGGAGCCCTCTGAGGGCCAGGTCTGGGTCACAGACACCCAGACGTGCCTGCAGCACTTGCAGAACCCCCGACAGAGAGGAGTGCTGAACAAATGCTCACAACATGCCGATGAGCTACTGACTCCCTTCATCACAGAACAGCCCCTACTGATTCAAGAAGAAGCCACAGGGACTCACCCACAAACCGGAACTGGTTTGGAAACATATCGAAGAGCCCATTGCTATGCATGGCAAAGAGGATGGCGAAGTAAACAGCTAGGCTGCCCCAGATGAAGAAGTGGTTGATGGCTGTCCAGTAGCCTGTGTCCAGCCCAATCTGGGAAAAGCAGGTGTCACAGGCAGAAAGAGCATCCCCCCAACCCTTCCTCATAATAGGAAGAGAACTTAGTGCCCAGGGTGGTCTCATGGACAGGAGGCTTACTCCTTCCAGGGGAGGGCAGGCCCTGGTCTGCCTCATACCTGCACGCTGACCACGATGACCAATGAAGTAGCCACAGTGACTGCAAAGGACTGGTAGTCAGCCAGCTGGGTGCCATCATCCCGAGTAGCCTCAGCAAACACCCCATAGGGGATGAAGAACATGAGCACGGAGGTATAGATGCCTCGGGCAATGCAGATGAAGAATTGGCGTTTGTTGAAGAGCAGGTTCAGCTGGCCTGGTTCATACAGCTTAGGATACTCCATGCTCCGTTGCTCAGGGACGTCCTACATGCAGGGGGCCAGGCGGGCCAGGAGGCCTCAGGAGGGCTAAGGGTACAGCCCACCCCGGCTGCCTCCTTCCCAAATTCTTTCATAGCGAGATCCAACCTCAAGCCCCCCATCCATCTTTGTTCAGCAACCAGGAAAGTCACAGGGCGGCTGCAGCTGAGCCGGAGCATCAGCCACAGCCTCCTGTGTATGGAGGACGGCCTGCCTGGGCCCCATCCGTGTACTTCCTCCCCAGAGCAGCCCTTCCCTGCCCCCAGACCCCGACCCCCCGCCATGTCCCTTACCTGGTCAAAGACCCCCATGGCTAGGACCGGAAGGGACGTGTACACGATGTTATAAAGGGTGATAAAATACTGATCGTAGACGGTCTGGGAAGAGAACAGAGAGCAAGACAGGAGTAAATACACAGTCCTTCTTCAGGCAAAAGAAGGCTGCTGAGGGGCATGCAGGGCCCTAAGGGATTATCTGGAGCCTGTCTCTGCTCCCTCACAGACAGGCAAGCAGTGGGCTGTGGGCACCATACCTGGGCAGAGAAGCCGCAGAAGAAGCCAAACCAGAAGTGGACCATGGTGAAGGCAAAGTTCTTGTAGAAGAAATAGCAGAGGAACTTGCACATGCGCAGGTAGGACCAGCGCCCGTGGACCAGCAGGAGGCGCTGCAGGAACTTGAACTGGGAGAAGGAGTAGTCGGAAGCCAGCACAGCCTGGATGCCCTCCTGTCCACTGATGCCCACGCCAATGTGAGCCGCTGCAGAGACGAGAGCGCAGAGGATCCCACACCCAGCACCCCAGCAGGGCAGAGCCTCCCCAGCCCCTGCCTTGCAAATCCACACTCACTTTTGATCATGCTGACATCGTTGGCTCCATCCCCAATGGCGAGGGTCACGGCTTTCTTGTGTTTCTTAACCAGCTCCACCACTTGTGCCTTCTGTAGAGGGGTCACGCGGCAGCAGATGACAGCTTTGCACGCACAGGCTGTCTCCAGAAACTCCAGCTCCATGTCTGCCTCCAACGCATGGGCCTGGAACACAGAGCCTGAGAGAGCCCCACCTTCCCCGGTGTAGGCCCCACTGAGGTCAGGGCAGAAAGCACAGGGTAAGACGAACGGCCCTGTGGGGAGAAGCGTGCTCTGGAAGGACTGTGCCGCGGGAAGCATGGGGATGCTCACCAGGCTGTGCCCATTGATGACCAGAGCATACTCGCCAGCCACGGCCTCCAGGACAGAGGTGAGCTTGGCGGACGAACGCCTCTCCTGGCAAGTGAAGCCGTTTCCCACCGAGTGGGACGCATCCATCATCTTCTCCCGGGCTTTCCTGGGAAGGGGAAATGCCACCGTGGGCTTCCAGACGAGCGGGGGCTTCGAAGCGCAGGATGTCCGCCTGCAAGGCCTCCATCTACCTGAGCTCCTCCCGTACTTCCAGGACAGTGTGGCCAGTGACCACGAACACCTCTGTCATGTCGTCCGTCAGCATCTTGCAAGAATAGCCGATGTTCACGGCCGTCTCTACCAATAGAGAGACAGTGAGGTCAGCACACCCTCCAGCCCAAGGTCCTAGGCTCAGGCTGGGCCCAGATGCAGCTTCCTCTGCCCCGCTGGGCTCTCACCTTGCTTATCTCCAGTCAGTACCCAAATCTTGATGTTGGCCAGCGTCAGGAGGGCAATGGTCTCCGGGACCCCCTGCTGAAGCTTGTCCTCAATGGCTGTTGCACCCAGCAACTGAAAATACCACAAGGGTTCCAGACAGAAGAGGCCCAGGTGTGAGCCCCCCCACGACCACCCTTGACCCACCGTGTGGCCCATACCACCATGTCGCTCTCAACCTCCTCGTACACGCTGGCCAGCCTGTCCTCCCGGCTGTCCTGGGCCAGGCTGGCTTGCAGCCGCCTCTGGGCCCATGCCCCATAATACTCTTCATCCAGATCCTTGTAGGCCAGAACCAGGGTCCTCAGCCCTTCCCCTGCATACTCCTGGGGACAGAGCCGAGAAGGTCACCGTCTCCCCCAGCTCCCATGACACTGAGGTCAGAACCACAAGGCCTCTCTCATCACACCTACATTCAGGTGGTCAGTGGTGGTGCTAAGCAGCTCCGGGGTGGACGGGTGGAGTCTGTCCAGCAGGAGAGTGTCAGCCCCTTTGCAGTAGAGTCGGATCCTCCCTTCTGGATTGCGCACTATGATCGCGGCATGGGGAAAAGACCCAGAAAGACTCAGGCAGGCAAAGACCCCCCCAATCTAACACGAACAAAGGCCACCCAGCCCCTCACCCACCCAGGCCTTTATGCTCCCCCGAACACCCCCCGCAGCCAGGCCTGGCCTCACCGATGACTGACATCCGCTTGCGGATGTTATTGAAGTCCAGGATGGCCAGCAGCTGATAGGTGACGGCTGTGCCCATCTCGTGGACAGTGATGGTTTTGGGGGTGCGAGAGCGGAATACAAAACCGAAGTTCCTGGCTGCGGTGACCAGGGCCCCCTCGTCCGGGGACTGAGCCTTGTAGTACAGCTCCCCTGGGTGGGGAGGAAGGCACGAGCGGTGTTAGCAGCTGCCTGGGCCTCATGTCCTGCCCAAGAAGCCCCTGCCAGATTGGGGACAGTGCCAGCTAGCCCCTAGGCTCACCTTCGTTCTTTTCTTCTGACATAACAGTATGACACAGAGAAAGGAGGCGGAAGAACTCATGCGTGTGGGGGTCCCCCATCTTGACAGCCTCCAAGAGCGTAGAGTCCCAAAATAAGAACTTCTTGTCGGCCAGAGGATTGAAGGAGAAGTCGACGGGCTCTGGTCTCTAGAGAAGTCAGGAGAGCAACAAGCAGAGGCCGAGCCGTCAGGTTGCACCACGGAGGGCTGTCCTTGCCTATTGTTCCTTGCCCTTCCAGAGGACAGCCCAGGACCCTGTGCCCTGCGGGCCCCAGATCCTCCCTTCTGCTACCAGTTCTTCCTGAAAACACACATTTCTCCCAACAGCCTCCACTTCTGAACCAAAGAACACTCCCCTCCTTACCATGCCCATTGTTACTGGGTGAGTGCCCCACATTGTCGGCACAGAGTGACTATGGAGGCCAGACCTTACCTCTCCCAATTCAGCCTTGTGTCCCAGGACATCAAACACGTCCCCTGTACATAGCCAGGACAGAAGGAGACATCACGTCAGAGCTATGAGCCTTGGGGAGGAGCCTCTAGGATATAATCCCTGCAGGCATCTGGAACCCTCAACCCCAACCACCGAGCCACAGTCACAGGATTGCATTGCGGACCTCAAAACCCCACTCACGACCCCCCCTACCCCCACCAGCTCTCCTGCTGGGACCCCAGGCCCCTCGGATGCCCTCATCCTGCAGGCCTCACCCCACATGCTAGCCGCAGGCCCGGGTTAGCACTGAGGGAGCTCTGTCTGCCTTGGAATCGGGCCTCACACACCCCGTGGCTCGGCTGCGAGGCCACGCTGGAGACCACGGTCACATTCCAGAGACTCCCAAGGGCACTGAACAGCAGGGTGGGGAGGGTCTAGCACCCCCTTTGCCACGATGCCACCCTACACAGCTGCGGGGCTGAGACCAGGGGCAGGGCGTCAGCAGAGGAAGGGGAGGCACTCTGCACTGCATCCTGACCCTGGGATACAGAGCCCATGAGGTCCCAGCCCCACAGACTCGAGCAGGAGGGAAGAAATCCCAAATGACAAGGTGACCGCAGGCGCCCCTTGTGTGTGGGGGGAGCCCCTCGGGGGGGGAGCCCCTCAGGGGGGAATGGGGTAGCTTGGGTCGGCGCGGCCCTACCGTAGCTGTGGCCGCTGATGGAGCACTTGCTGAAGACCATGATGTTCTGGGTGAGGGTGCCCGTCTTGTCAGAAAACACATACTCCACCTGACCCAGCTCCTCGTTCAGGGTGGTGGTGCGCGCCTCAGCAGGTGTCCGCTTCTTCGCACAAAACATTTTCTTGTCCCAATTGATGAAGTAGCTGTGGCCCAGGCGGATGACTTCCACACTGCACAGGGGACCAGTAGTGAGGCCCAGGCAGGAGCAAAGGAGGGCCCCCCAATGGGCCTTTGCCACAGGCCACCCTGCCCTGCCTGGGGAGGGAGACAGGATGGATGGAGGGGACACCCGGGCATGGACACATGGGCGGGAAGGGCCAGGGGACCCTGAGAGTGCCTCCGGCCCCGGAGCCCAACCCTCAGGGACTCTCCAGACACGAAGGTGCAGAGGGCCTGGGGCCTGGGGCAGGTAGACAGATGGGATGGACAGCAGGGAGGGGGCTGCACACGAGGCACTAGGCCGGGTCTTACCTCAGGACTAACAACACAGAAACCATGCAGAGAAAACAAGAGAAAGTGTGTGAAGGAAGGAAGAGAAGCGAGAGCTGGTGAGAGCCCTGGCCCCTCATGGCCCGTGGCGCAGTGCAGGGCGGCCCCACACGGGGACATGGGACTGACCGCAGGGGGAAGTAACCCAGGCAACCCAGCTCGGCACTTCTCTCCGACCCCAGGCCTAGGTCCACTGTCCTCTTGCTTGGGAAGGAGACCAAGCCAGGAGCAGCCTGGAATCCCGCATGCCGCTTGCTGCCAAGAGGGGTCCCCGCACCTTCCCCCCACTATGTGGCTCACCCCCAACACAGCCCGGAACCTCATCAGACTCGGCAAGAGGCTTAGTGGCTACCTCGGACACTGGATGAGCAGCAAGCCCAAGATGGAAGTCAGATAGCAGACGAACGGCAGCAGTGACCACCCTGTGTCTCCCAGCGCCAGGTCCTCCAATCTAGTCTCTGCCCCCCACCCCCTCCCCTACAACATCTATGAGGATAGGATAGGAACTCTGGTGGCCCTGGGCCTCCCAAGGTCATGTGGCCTGGGAGCCAGCGGCCAGCATTGTGGGCGCTAGGACTCTGGGGTGGTGGGGAGACCACGGGGGCACCTGGGGAGGCTGTATGAATGACGCTGAGCCCTTGGCAAGTGTCCCGAGCATCCAGACAGGATTTCCTTTGCCACATACCAGGCACCCTCACCTCCCATGCGGTAAGGACACAGGGAAGGGGCTGTCTTCCCTCTTCCCCTCCCACTTATGCTTACAGGCCCAGGCCCCATTCACATTCTCTGCACCCAGACATCCCAGTGTCTCCTAGACCCTGTTCATGCTGCTCACTCTGCCAGCCAACACTTCCTGAAGCATTCCTGGAACTTTTTTTTTAAAGAATCTTTCAATGGCTTACTAAATACAAAGTCCACTGACAGAGCATCATCAAGAACCAGCTCAGCTGCCCAGTCATGCTCTGTGCTGCTGCCAAACAATGACCATACCTAGGGTCCCATGTCCATGCCTTCAACTTCATCCAGCCCAGTCATCTCTTCTAAGAAGTCCTCCCTGATTAACTACCCAGGGAATGGTGGTCTTCCCACTCCGTGCCTCCCATGTGACGTCACAATGGGAATGTGGGGTACCATGTGTCACCCTGCTGGCATCTCTCCTTCTTCCTAGCCCGCTGCTGGTGACGGCAGACACCCTCCTGTACACCTGTGACCCCTCATGTTCAATACTAGCCTACAGGGAGAATGACTCCCAGGGCACTTGCTCCTGATTTGTTTTAGATTTCTCTATGAGGCTGAAGCACCTGGAGGGAAGGCGGCCCATCCTCAACATGTCTTTGCAGATGGCACAGCACAAATTTGGCACGTAAGCAACATGTACTGCATAAATCGATATGGTTTTGGTTCTAATACAGTCCAAAGGGCCAGGAAACCGTGATGAAGCTTGCTCCACACACAGATAAACAGAGTACAAGATACTTAAGGCCTAAAAAGGAGCTCCAGGTTCTTGCCCAAAGGTTTTGTTTTCACAGAAAAGTCTGCCAAGGGACCACCTGGGCTCCATGGGAGACCCGGGGCAGAACAAGTGCTTACCTGACATAGAGCGATATGGGCACAACGGTGTTGAGGATGATGATGTAAGACCAAAAGGAGAGGAAGCCAGAGAAGAAGGCACTGTTCACTGCCTCGTCCCAGGGCAGGTAAACCTGGAAGCGTGTCCCAACCTCATGCTCCCAGATGGCATTGCCAATGGCTAGGATCACCCCCATACACACCAGGAATCCAAAAATCTGGTGAGGAATGAGAAGCAGAGGCTAGGCTGCCACTTAGGAAGCCCCCAAAACCAAGCACACCCCTGAAGATCAGCACTCATACCCTAAATCCTCAAAAGCGCAGGCATCTTTAAAATGCTGGCATGAAAAAAAAAGTAAAATAAAATAACATAAAATAAAATAAAATAAATAAATAAAATAAAATATAAAATGAAATAAATAAAATAACATAACATATAATAATAAAAAATAAAATAAAATAAATAAAATAAAATAAAATGCTGGCATGTTCTCCTGGGAAGCACTCAGAACTGGTAAAAGGTTCCAGCTGACCAACAATCATGTGACCCTCGCTCTGAACATTTCTTAACCACGTGACGTGGGAGCTCAGACACCTGTACAGCTTCCAAACGGACACACTGGGGCCCTTCCCAGACAGTCAGAGGGGGTGTGAGCGAGCTACCCTCAATGTGACAAGGCAGCTCATCCATCTACCTGAACTGAGCCTCTACAAGCCAACAAAAATGCCAAGTTTCTGTAATGTTCACCATCTCATACAAATTGCCAGAAAAAATTTTTACCCTGGGAAACAAATTTTATCTTCATAAATATAGATTTGAAAGTAAAACATCTTTTAAAGATCGTAAAAGATTCTTTTAAAGACTTAAATCTTGTAACCCCCAAAAAAGGTTAATAAGATGATTCTCTGGTGGTTAAAAGAAAAAAGCTGACTGATTTCAGACATGTTTCTGAAGCTCCATCCACCATGGATGCTTCGTAACCAAACAGGAATTGCCCAGGGGCCCAAGGACCGCCAGGGGGCGATATAAGCCTGTGCATGAGAGACTCAACGACCCTTGGCAGCGAGGTTTCAGCAAACCCTTTAAGGCTGGGGCTGGCCCCAACCTTGGCAAGCTGGCATGTGGGGGGTCAGCAGCAGGCAGTTGGGGCACAAGAAGAGGAGGAGAACCCAACAAGGAGCTCAAATTTCTAGTCAAACAAGACAAGGATTCAGGAATGGTCAAAAACTAAAACAGAGACTTTTCCTTTGGAATCATCCACTCTTAGAAGTCTGGGGAGGGACACCTGGGTGGCTCAGTGGTTGAGCACTTGCCTTTGGCTCAAGACATGATCCTGGGGTCCAGGATGGAGTCCCATATTAAGCTCCTTGTGGGGACCCTGCTTCTCCCTCTTCCTGTGTGTCCCTGCCTCTCTTTGTCTCTCATGAATAAATAAATAAAATCTTTCTTTAAAAAAAAAAGTCAGGGGAAAAGACCCCATTCATTATCCATCTGCCAAATGGAAATTTTTCTTTTAATTCCCTCTCCATCCCCATGAAGGCCTCCTTGTCCCTGCCAAAAGCAAACAGAAGGTCACATGCTGCAGCAAAGTACCACCATAACTGCAATCCAGAGAAGGGAAGATCTGTTTTAGCTCTCATCCAGTCCTTGATTCATCCACGTTCTGAAGGTTCTTTTAAATAACATCTACCAAGGCTCAAGGGAGCCTGAAATAAACGCTGCCTTTGAGTGGCTGACCTGTCAGTGGCTTCACTGCCAAAACCTGCAGCCTGACTACTGACCAGGGAGGGGAGGTGGGAGCAACGAGAACTGCCCGAGGACTCCTGGGAGGAGACTCACCCAGAGCACCAGTGTATTCATTAGGCGATCAATACTTGTTCTCTTGAACTTGGTCCTGCCACTGTTCTGCATCAGCTTAGTGTCAGGACCTAGAAAGGAATGGGAGAAGCTGGGGAAGCCAAACCACCAATGTGCCTCTGGGTTTTTACCCCCAACACCAGACTGCAGGACCTCAGGGTGGAGCAGTGATGCTGGCTGGAAATGTGCCTGGACAGAGGGCTCCTCCAACTCCCCGGAGGGCAGCTGTGGCTCCACCACTCACTCTTCATTCCTGGGGCCCTGGGAGGCTCACCTGCAAAGACGACCAGCCCAAAGCACCACTCGGTGTTCCGCAGCACGCAGCCTCGCAGGAGCATGTTCTGGTTGCTCAGGGGGAACTTGCTCTCCTTCCAGTAAAGGGTCCCACTGAACTTGTCCAGCTTGTTGTTGGGAGGCTCGCAGACGACCTCACCTGAGCAGGAGACAGAATGCTGCCATTCCAGGTGCCGTTGACAGCCTTCCTATGAGCCAAGATACAGCTGAGAGAGGTGCCTCTGCACACCGCCAGGGGCTGAGGTTTGGTGACTTAGCAGGAGGAAAGAGCTGGCATGAACGGATATTAAAGGTACACATACCCTCCGGCCCTGTGATCCCACTGCGGGGACTCTGTTCTACAGAAACAACAGCATACGTCACAATGGGTTTACTCAAGCATTCTCTGAACAGCAAAAAACTGGCAATGGAATGGTCAAGCAACATTGTACCGCATCAGCTCTGAGGAACATGACACAGCCAGTAAAAGGAACGAGGGAGGTTTCTGTAAACCACGATGCAACAAGATAACCTGATGGATTTAATAGGTAAGGAAAGGCAGGTGTGGAGATTTGGGTGCAGTACGATCCCAGGGCTTGGTGCTCACATCTGTATGAACAGAGTGTGGACAGATACGCACTAAAGGACCAGGGCACCTGGCTACCTAACAGGGTGGAAGGGAGGAGGTGTTTTTCTTATACACACTATAGTCTGGCCTTCTAACATATACCACTATTTGGAGCCAGATAAGAATAAACTGAATTTCTCTCAACACACACAGCAAGGAGGGAGGTATCAGCCATGAAGACCTCCTGTAACAGCCATGAACTCAAAAGTAGTGGTAGCCACCTTACATTGCTGACACTCCTCCACAAAGAAAAATCCAGGGAGCTGCATCACAGCAAAACGGAGAAGGTACAACTGAAACCCCAAAACCCAACCCACCTCCTCTGAAAGTCGCTTCTCCAAAATCACTCACCATCAAACTTGGCGAGCCTACTGATGTCTCCAACTCCGAGGTGACTGGGATTGCCTGGCGCACTTTCATGTTGGTCTCTCTGGAAGGACAGCGTCCCTAAGTCCTGGCTCCCTTCACTTCCTCTAGACTCTATCTGGGAGCACCTGACCTTGGGGCATCACCTTCATTACTAAGTGTATAATACTTCCACATACCCAAAGCCTTTCTGATCCCTAAATTTTTCAAAAGGTAGAGATCCCAGACCTGGTAATCTCTTCCAAAAAATTAGCTTTTTACCCTTAAGGAGACAGAAAATTTGTGACACTCACCCATCAAGTTCTGCTGTCTCTATGTAACACAGGCCATGGGGCTCACTGCTGCAAAGGAGGAGGAGATCCGCCTAGAGAGAAAGCCTGGTGAGAAGCCTGACAGCCAGCCCTCCACTCGCAATGCACTCCTTGCTGATCCTTCCTTCCCCTAAGGATTCTTGGTTTGCTTAGTCCCAAGTGTGAATGGCTAGAAAGAAGCCAGCCCAGGTATATTAATATGGCACAGAGGCTTCCCACCCAGGGCACCTGGGGGGCTCAGTCAGTTAAGCATCAGACTCTTGATTTCAGCTCAGGTTGTGATCTGAGGGTGGTGAGATGGAGCTCTGTGATGGGCTCTGCACTGAGCGTGGAGACTGCTTATGATTCTCCTCTCCCTCTGCCCCTCCCCCTTTCACATGTGCGCACACATGCACTCTCTCTCAAAAAGTAAATAATGCCCTGGTGGCGCAGCGGTTTAGCGCCGTCTGCAGCCCGGGGTGTGATCCTGGAGACCCAGGATCAAGTCCCACGACGGACTCCCTGCACAGAGCCTGCTTCTCCCTCTGCCTGTGTCTCTGCCTCTCTCTCTCTGTATCTCTCATGAATAAGTAAATTAAAAAAAAAAAAAAGTAAATAAATAAAATTAAATTTAAAAAGAGAAGCTCCCCACTCAAGAAAGTTCAATCCACAGATAATTATGAGACAGTAATAAATGAAGAAAGACTCATTTCTTTCTGCCAAAAAAAAAAAAAAAAAAAAGAGGAAGAGACTTGTAGGCCCAGAGGGCCACCTTGTCCCTTACCGCCACAAACTGATTATTTTCTAGCTTGATAATATCACCAACACAGACATTCATCCACTGCTCTTGCTGGAGGCTGAGGCAATGAGAAGACAGAGAAGAAGCCGTCAGAGAGAAGTTCCCAGGGGGCCCCTTCCTCCTGGCGGCCCTGTGTCTCCAACAGATACTCACCTTCCATTGATGAGCACTTGAGACTGCCGGTTATTCACCTGGTTATCACTCTTGTGGCGGAACTGAAAAGAACTAAGAACAGTAAGACACCTTCCTTCCCCCCCTCCTAGGGACTGAGATGATCAGTGGGATGCAAAGTGTGCTGGGTCCTCATCTCCAGTGCACCTATCCACAGATTGCCTCTCTCTGTGGCTCTGCCCCTGCCCTTGGCCAAGATGCCACGGATCTAGGGGCCAGGTGGGGGATGGCATGGTCCCCAAGGACCAGTCCCAGGCAGAGGAGAGCATGTTGGGAGTAGGGGTGAGGAAGACGTGCAGGAATGGAAGAATGGAAGCACTCACATAGTCATCAGTGGCATCTTTCACAGCTGTGATGGCAAGGACAAGAACCAAAGGCACGATGGTGGTGAACCAGGACAGGGAAGACACCTGCGGGATCAACTGCAAGGGAAAAGAGGGCATGGCTCTGAGGCCCCATCCCATGTGCCTCAGCCCCCTAATCTGACCTTGCAACTAGACTTTACTTGGCTTCGTGAGTTGCAAGTTTCCCTATAGGACACTCACCTGCAGAATGAGAAGGAACAGGAAGTAGGTATTGGCAACTTCCTGGAACTGCTCAAAGAGGTTGACGGGCAGGAAGGTGAGAATATTGTACTTGGAGGTTTTGATGCAGTTACTCTGCGACAATGGGAGAGAAGATCACTAGACAGCCTCCAATCCCAACCCAGAACCAGGAGGAGGTTGCCCCCTGCTTCGACACTTCCCAAACTTCTGCCCCTAAAAGCTAGTAATCACAGGTGTGGGAGGGGGAAATGGCGGAGAGAAGACAGTCTTGTGGGGTCCAGGTGAAGGCAAGAAAAAATAGGTATGGAAAGCAGCTGGCGGGGGGGGGGGGGGGGGTTCCCTGCCCTGGCCGCAGCCTAAAGGGGGCCTGTGCCCTCTGGGCCTCAGGAGGAGGGAGTGGGTTGGGGGCTACAGTCACTCACCGCATACTGGAACTTCTCGTTGTATTCTCGGTCATTGGCTCGTGCCCTCCTTTCTTCTTCTGCAATAGAACAATGATGCAATCAGGAGGAGCAAACGGGAGGCCTGACAAGATGTCAGGCCTACCCATTTTGTGGGGTTTCCAGTGAGGGCCCTTGGCTCTTTCCAGAGTACTCAATTTTAAGGAGCTGGTGCCACATGTGAGGTGTCACTCAGTTCTTCCCTCTTACCACCAGCCTGGCCAATCGGTTCTGAAGGCATTCATTCACAAGACAAGACCAACAACTCAAGGTCTTCTGCTAAGGGCACTCACATCCCCTCCCCCACCCCTTTAATTAACACCTTAGTCATTATGGCCTCAGGAATCCTCAGAGGAACAGCAGCTGCAGCCAAAGACCTTCCTTCCCCTGGGAGCCCCTCCAGATCTGGTTGGGGCACTGCCCTCTTCCTAACCTGGGGGTGGGGTGAGTGGCAAGACGGTGGTCACCAGGTCACTGTGCTCTGCAACTGCTCTGCGGCAGCATCCCAGCTCACAGCCCCACGTGTGTACCCCCTCCAGGAGCCTTTGCTCATCACATGTCACCAGCAGAGCCTTCTGACTGGCCCACAATGACATCACCTTATTTCAAAGCTCGTCTTCAGGCAGGAGAAGGGGGGTCAGGGATATGGGTCATGCAGACCAAGACAGCAACAGCAGTGAAGGAGGCAGGAACAGGGTGGACTTTACAGGGCTGGCCACCTGCACACCTCGCCCTCAAACAACTACCACTGAGTGACAGATGCGCTACACCCATCTTCAACACCCGCTGATGGGGGACGGCAGGCACCAAGTCCATGTCCCAGAACATGGGGCTGTCCTGTGAAGGGTCCTCCAGCCCACCTCTGAGGGTCACAAGGGCCACAGGCTGAAAAAGAGGGGCTTCCTGGGGGGGGGGGGCTGGCAACACAAGGCACTCAACCTATGCTGAAGCCAAAGGCAGGATTCCAGGCCCCTGCCACCAGCCTTGCAAAAACCCCTGCAGAGAGCTCAGTACAGCACCCTCTGCCTACTCAAGGCTCCTTCCCCGCGTGGCACTTTACTCCCAGAAACCTCCCCGGGGGGCCTAGGGCCTGAGCCCCCAGCATCCTCTCCAAGGACCATGCAAGAGAGAGGCGGGAGCAGACCCTCTGGAGCCAGGATCTCAGGGCCTGGCAAGGAGAGGCCCAGGGAAGGCTGGGGAAGGCTGCGGACAACACAACTTGGGGGAGGGGGGGCACGAGCTCGGGAGAGCTACCAGGCGCCGCCTCCCGTTACCTGTCCCCCAAGAGGGCTTCTTTCTGCTCCAGGAGGGGGGCGCCCCGGCCCGGGCCCACTTCTCGGGCATCTCCTTGGGGACCGTCATGATCCCGGTTTGAGCGGGGGAGAGCGGGCGGTCCGCGGTCGTCCTCGGCCTCAGCGGCGCCGACGCGGCAGCCCCCCGGGCAGGCGCACCAGCCGCGGCCGCTCACAGGGGAGCCCCGGCCGTCGGGCGCGCGCCCCACCTGCAGCCCGGGCCATGCCCGCGGCCGCCGCCCCCAACCCCGCCGCCCGCGCGCCCAGTGGCCGGAGCGCCGCGGCCCGGCTCCACCCTCCGCCCGCCCCCCGCCCGCAGGGCAGCGCTTGCCAGCGCCGCGTAGGCGAAACCCGCGAAGCCCCGCCCCTGGGGGGGGCAGCGTTGTCTAGGTAACCGCTTTCCTCCCACCCCCGCCCGCAGGGAAAGCGGGAGGGCCGGACGGATGGAGAAAGGAGAAGAGACGTGGGAACCCAGTGCCCCAGGCCCTAGGCGAGGCGCTCAGGTGCACCCGGCGCCCCGGGCCCCCCCCCCCAGGGTTGTGATCCCCCCTCCCCCAGATTCACTGCGGCTAGTCCGTCCCTCAGCTCCCTGAGCCACAGTATAACACCCAGTCTCAATGACACAGGGCCTCCACTTCCCCCACCCCCTGCCCCTCGCTGCCCCCGTCTTACCTGGGGGGCGCTTTTGTGCACACAGTGCCATCTCACCCAGCAAGGTCCCAGCAATCCCATGGGAGACCCTGCAGGAAGGTGACATATGTGTGAGGTCAGAAAGCCAAGGGTAACCCTTCATTACCCTCTGCAGAGGCCTCAGCCCTGGATACGTGTGTGTCAGAACTGCCAGTCTACAAAAGCCAAGACCTGCAGAGAAGGAAGCAGACAAGGAGAAATGGCCAGACAGACAGGAGGAGCACAGCACTCAGGGTACCCATCCCCGCAGCAATGGATGCTCCCCTGTGCCCTCCTGGTGGCCATGAGAGGTTGCCTGTGTTTACTGGAAAGCAGAGTTTCCAAAGGGTAGGGTGGAGGGAACCTGAGCCAGGAAACACCTGGCAGAGCCTCAGGAAACAGTGGGCAAGCTCCACCTTACTCAAAATGCTTATAACCCTGCCATCCCACATTGCTGGGGCTTCCATTCTCACCTCCTCCAGGGGAGCTCACACTACAGGCCTGGGCTTCATTTCCTGAACAGGTCCCCAAACCACTTCCTCTCACTTCCTGGGTCAGCAGAGGGGCCTTGCCCACTGTGCTGGGGAGTCACCCTCTCTCTCCCTCCCCACAAGCCCAGCCCTGCCAGGATGGCAGTAGATACAGGCTCAGGGAGAATCACACAGGCCTTTGTTTTTCCTTCCATCTTACCATGTCCCTTTCACCTAAAAAGGTAAAAAGGTCTGGCCTAGGAGACAGGGTCAGAGCCTCATCCCTATTGCCAGCCAGGCCCTGGGTCCTCTTGTCACCTCCTCTTTCTCTGTCTGGGTGAAAAGCCTTCCCCCTCATCTGTTCCCTTGTCCTGGGCCTCCGAGGCACAGCCTGCCAGCCTGTCAGCCCAAAAAGATACTGATTGCCTGTCTGACCAACCTCTATAATTACAGACTCTGGCCACAGCCTGTCACCCACACCAGCCATCCCTTTACTAACTCAGACTCCCTTTCTGAACCCCAGGTCAGGCAGAAAGTCAGAAGTCCTCTTCCTCCCCGACCCTTCCCAACACTGATCTTGCCAAGGGTGCCTGGCTCAGGAGGAAAAAACTTCATCCATGTTTGGGAGATGCCAAGCCCTCCTCCAGGGGCCCTGGCCAGGGTCTCCACCCAGTCTAGAGCATGAGTCACAGCAGGGTGGGGTGTGGAGGAAGAGGCTAAAGGAGAAGATGGGAGGGTGGGCACCACAAGTTCCATAGCCAGCCCCACCCTCCAAAAGAGAGTCCATCAAGAAACACCACCAGCCTGAAGATCTGGGCTTGAGTCCTACGAAAGAATTAATGAAGGGACCACACACACTCTTAGGATTCCCGAGTCTGGACACAGAGCAGGAAAGTTGTTTTACTTCTAAGGCCCTGGGGAGAATGAAAGCTGACTTGCTCCCAGAACTCATCCCCTCTGGGGGCCCTGGTGGGGAGGGAGCAAGAGTGGGAGGCATGGGGGCAGGCACTCACTTCTCCCCAGGCTCCCCACAGCCTGGGTTTCTTTAACACTAGACACACCAGCCACGTTGCCCTGCCCATCACCCGGCCCCAGCCCCCTCTACAGCCACATTTAGAATAAAAATAGCCGGCTCTGGGAGGAAGGCAGTGCTCCTCCTCTGGCGGGGCCCCCACTCCCTTCCAGCCCGAAGCCTAAGCCGGGAAGACGGACCCTTCTCCCAGAGAAGGCTGGCAGGTCAAGGGGACAGCAGGAAATGGGATCCCGTACCCCTTCCGTGGTCAGGGTCAGACTCCTCCTGGGGCCCCCTCCAGAGACGCATCCCTCACCCTACAAGTGTCGGGCGGCACTCCCCGCCGCGCCGCCCCCTCCCTTCAGCCCTCCTGCCTCACCTCAGCGCGCGGCGCCGGGCGCCCGCCCCGGCCGCCCCGTCCAGCCCATGCCGGGGGCTGCGGCGGGGGGCGCTCGGCTCGGCTCCCCCGGGCTCCCGCCCCCAGCTGCAGCCCCGCTCCCCCGGGGCTCGGCCCGCTACTTTGTGTCAGTTTCGGCCGCAGCGGGGCGGAAGTGACGGAGTCGGCGGCAGAGGCGGGGGGCGGGCGGGGGCTTTGGGGTGGAGGAGAGGGGGAGGGAAGGAGGGAGCCGCCATCTTTGTGCGGGGCGGGGGATGGGGGGTCTTAACCCTTCCGAGCCATGGCCCCCGCCCCTCCCGCGGCACCTCCATCCCGGAGCACCTCCACCCCGGGACCCCTCCATCCCGCGGCCCCTGCACCCAGGGGCCCCTCCATCCCACGGCGCTCCACCCAGGGGCCCCTCCATCCCACGGCCCCTTCACCCAGAGGCACCTCCACCCAGGGGCCCCCTCCACCTCACCGCACGTCTCCAGTCGGCCAGAGAGTAACGAGACCAGACTTTTTTTTTTTTTTTTAAGTTCATTTACTTAAGTAATCTGCGCACCCAACATGGGGCTCCAACTCACGGCCTCCGAGATCAACTGGCAAGTTCCTCCGACTGAGCCAGCCAGGCACCCCAAAGGGAGCCCTGGCGCTCTTATTCACTGGAAAGGGTCCCGGGAGGGCGGCCAGGTAGGGGCGTGAGAGCGAGCCCCCCCCCCCCCCCGCGGCCCCAGAGTCAGGGCCTTACTCCTGGGCGCACCGCACCCCTCTCCGGGAGGGATGGCTGGAGCGTCTGGGCACCGGGCTGTGCCTCAGTTCTCCCCCTGCGCTCGCGGTCGTCTCCTCGCCACCTGGGGAGCTGCCCCGCGAGGGAACCGCGGCTGCGCAGAGGTCTTGGGGCTAGGAGCCCCCCTCACCGAGGCTGCCCGCCCCCCACCCCACCCCGGGCCCCTCCAGGGTGCACCCTTTGGCGGCCACTGGGAGGCTCTTCGTCCGCGGAAGCCATCACTGTCCCAAGACCTGCTGGAGGAGGAGGGGGAGCAAGGAGGGCCAGCGGGAGGGGCCTGGCGCGGGGTTACCGCCCCGTCTAAGTATCCTGCCCAGTTCAGGGGGAAAGGATGGCTTGAAGAGCGAACTGCGATGCTGGCTGGTACAGAGAATGTCTTGTCACCAGCCCTGGGTCTCTGGCCCTCTCCAGTGTCCACAAGGGAGGTGAGGGCTGCCATGTCAGAATCATAGCTTACACTGAGCGGAGGCAGGAATTTCCAAGTCTGAAGCTTTATGTTGGGCAAACTCTAGATCCTGAGCTGGCTCTGACTCTTCAGAATGGTGGAGAGCCACCAGCAGCTGATATGTGGCTGTGCCAAGCGTAGCCCCTACCAGAGGGGCCACCACAGGCACCCACCACCAGCCATTACCAGCACTACAAGAGAAGGACACAAGGTGACCTCAGGGCTGGCTCCCCTAGCCTTCATGGCAGACTGGGGGCAGTACCTAGTGCACTCTTGAAAGCAGTTCCTGGGGAGCTTCAACAGCATGGCACTTAGAGACCCCAGGAGAGCCTGGTCCAGCCTCTTGCCTTAGGGAATTATCTGAATATATCCATTTTGCTGATGAGGTCGCTACTGCCCAAGGAGGTCATATGACATGCCCAAGAACACCATCTCTACAGTTTGTATGGGAAGGGAGTAGGAGGTAAGAGGCAAAGGGAGAACCAGGGCTTAGATGAGGGACATTGTCCTAACAAGCCAAGAGAACTATGCAAGAGGAGAGAGCTGGGACCTAGACTCAGAGCCCTTCGCAGAGGGAGGAGAGTGGAGGTACTGGAGAGGGACGCTGTCCTCTCTCACCTGAAGACTTCAGGGCCCCAGCCGGCCACGTAGGTGAAAAGCCGTGGGCCCAGGTCCCGGGCGGGGTTGAGTGGGAACCCACAGTTGGCACCCATGGATAGCCCAATGGCCAGGATCAGCAGCCCGACAGCCACAGGCTCCAGACCCGCAGGCACTCCTTTGTTCCGTGTGTCCAGGATGGCCAAGATCCCCACAATCAGGATCCCTGTGCCCAGAACCTTGGGGTCAACAGAGGCAGAGGAGCCCCCATAAGCTGCCAGATGGTCCAACTGCTCTTTCTCACCCAAGCATCCTAGGCCACCAGCCCATGTCATCTGACTTTGTCCAATACAGGAGTGGGGGTGGTGCTGAAATAGACCCAACCCCACATTCCCCAGGGCCAGAGGGGACAAGGCAAAGACTGGGGCTTTTCCAACTCTCCCTTCACAGTTACCTGATCCAGGAAGCCGTTGTTCAGGGACAGATAAGGGGCAGGGTAGGTGGCAAATATGGAGGCCGTCTCCTTGGGGCCCATCACTGTCAGGTTCCCACCTGTATAGTTCTGTAGGGCATCTGCAGGGGAGGGGGACACCCAGGATTTCCATCTTCATTGGCTCAAAATCACTGCAAGGCACTCCTAGCCACATGCAGATGCTCCTGACCACATTACCGTAATAGAGAGCATAGGTGGCTCCTGAAGCACAGAAAGCAGACAGAAGCTGCACCAGGCAGTAAATGGGGAGCTTGGCCCAGGGGAGGCGTCCCAGGAGGCACATGGCCAGGGAGAAGGCTGGATTCAGGTGGGCCCCTTTAGGGATCCAGAAAAGAAAACCAACATCCGTTAAGTGCCACTGCCAGGCACACACCAGGTACTACTGCTACTCCTCACGACTTTGAAAAAATTTTTACTTATTTAAAATAGTATTCCCAGCGTGGGGCTCAAACTCACAATCCTGAAATCAAGAGTCACACACTCCTCTGAGCCTGCCAGGTGCCCCTGCCACCCCCCTACTCCTCAGGCAGATGTGTCAGGAAGCTGAGGCTCAACCGGATCACACAAGAAAGCCCCAGATCTTCCTAAGACAGTGTTCACATCTCAGGGCTGCAGCCAGGCACACTGACAATAGCACCTGTCTGGGGACCAGCAGGTGATGACTCCAGAGGGCTTCAGCAGGGGACACAAGAAGGCAAGCACTTACCCTAACGCTTTGCCAAAGCTCTCTGCCTAAGTGAGTTCAGGAGACACACACACAGGGGAAGGGCTGGACCCAGCCCAAGGCATATCCCAGTCATCCCAGTCCAAGGCACCGGTCAAGCTCAAGGAGACGATGTTTATGAGTCACTGGAGGCTCTGTCATCTACCCACACTCACGTGCACGTTCTGTCCCAAGGATGACCAGTTCCCACCCTCCTCACCTGAAACATTACCACTCACGTAGATGGCTATCGTAACAGCTAGGGAGCCAGCCAGAAACATGGTGAAGAAGTTGCCTTTGCCTTCTCCACTGGTGACAGCTTGTGCCACAGCACCCTGGGTGAGGATCTGGTGGGAGAGGAAAGATGAGGAACGAGAACCAGGAACAGGGCGCCCCAGGAACAGGGAGCCCGGGCAACCAGAGGGGGACAGAGCACCTGGCAAAGCCAGAGGAACAGCCCGGGTTGTTGAATGAGCAGGAGTCGACAGGGAAGGGAGAAAAACACATGGAGGGACAATAAAGGAGAGATGTGGAGGATGAGTGACAACAGGGAAGGAGGATGAGAGATGGGCAGGAATGGAAGGGACAAGGGCAGGGAGAGAAATGATGGGCAGGGACGCATGGGCAGTGGTTGAGTGTCTGCCTTGGCTCAGGGCATAATCCCTGGTCCGGGGATCCAGTCCCACATCAGGATCCCCGCAGGGAGCCTGCTTCTCCCTCTGCCTGTGTCTCTGCCTCTCTCTGGGTCTCTCACATGAATAAAGGAAGGGAAGGGGAAGGGGAAGGGGAAGGGAGGGGAGGAGAATTGATGGGCAGTTAAAGAAGGGAGACACCAAGAGGAGCCAAAAACTTCTCCCCAGCTCACCTCTTTCCTTCCCCAGTTACCCAGCCTACCATGAGCACGAACACTCCCAGAAACTCTGCCAGGCACTGTCGGGCCAGGTGGCTGCGGATCTGGAGCCTGCTCTTGACTTTAGCCAGGGGGTGGCTGTAGGCCATGGTGAGGATACCCTGTCTCTGGCTGCTGCTCCCTCCGTCTGCATAGGCACACGAGTAGTGCCTGCCAGATAAGGAACAGACTTTAAAACCAATTACCTCAGCTCTTGAACAGCAGTATCTGTACACGTGTGTAGGCTAAGGACGTAGAGATGATGGGAGAATGTCCAAGGACAAGCTTGGTGCACGACCAGAGCCTGGAGTTTGCCCGGGCTCTGTGTACTTTGTCTGCCATTGTCATTCTTCCTGTGCTGATGGGCTGGAGGAAGTGTCCTGCATCAGTGCAGGTGGCCTAGACCACCCTGGAAGGAAGCACCACTCCTCCCACTCTGCCCATGAGGGACTGGAGACCCTCAGGACTCTCCAAGGCCACACAGCTACTTAAGGGCTAAGCCTGAATTCAAATCCAGATCTTCTGATTCTCCATCCCTATTGCACAATGCTTTTCATGTGGAATGAGAAGTGTTTCTTCCATTTGGATGCTTACAAAGTTCCACAGGCATCCAGAGAAGCTGGGCCAACGACCAGAAGCTGCAGAAATGAAATCCACTCAGTGAACACTTGCACTTCCCTCGTGCAGAGCTCACCTTGGTTAGAAAGTGCTACAGCTTTGTGTCCCCTGCCATGGCTAAAGGAGCACTTTTTGCCCACAGGGAGCCCCACCCCCGCTTCTCTGGATGCTTGCCACCCTGATTCTGCATAACACAGAGCCACCACTTCCTACTTCTTATCACAAGCCTCCAATTAGGTTCATTCAACTATGAGTCAAATTCCAGACCTGGGGAGCAGGGTGAGCAAAATACAGTGTGTGTTCTTCCATAGAGCATGTTCTTCTAGTAGGTGGAAACATACACATGAAGATACTATATATAGTTTACAAGGTTCTTGAGAGGTGGGCCCCATAAGCCCCAGGTTCTAATGCAATAGTGGGCATATCTGTACGCAGTAGTTCTTTACTGGGTTTAGTGGATATCAGAATGCTCTACACACAGGTGCCCATTCGGGGCAATGCACCCATTTCCCAGCTGCTGGGAATATCAGATGCTGAGAGTACACAGCTGTTTCCCTCGTGGTACTACCTTCCATGGCTTAAGATGGCTTCACCCAAGGTGACATGCTCTCCTATAGGGTTCATGTCAACAACTGGTTGATGCAGGGATACAACGACCTGGCCTCTTTGCCTCAATACAGAACAACCCTGAAGGGTCACTCTAGCTTCAAAGTCCCCTTAGCATTAGCTGAGGCTTCTCTTGCAACTTCCTTGTGTCAGTCCCCACTCTGCCTCATCCTGCCTTCCTCAACTTCCTAGCATTTGTATCCCCAGAGAGTGCTAGCACCCCCAAGAAACCTTGCTCATGTCTCTTTTCATCTTTGTCTTTTCCCAGGGAACCCAATTTAAGAGCTGGTGTCAGGAGTGGTTCCACAAAATCTAGAACGGAATTTGGGCGATCACTCACGGGCTGGTTGACAAGAACTCTATCATGGTAGTAGGTAGAATATGGATAGTCTCTAGCTTGAAATGATGCAATGATTAAAACGGCCAGCAGTAGGCAGCTGGAAGCGGTGACTGGTTGGAAGGACATGCACTTGTGCAGTATCTCCAGCACTGAAGAAGAGGCTGAGGGAAATGGTCACTAGATTCTGCAAAACCTATCACCAAGCAAAGGCAGACTGCAAAAGCCACTGGGCTCCCTTGACAGCATTTCAGGAAAGCCTAACCTCTTGCAACCAATGAGCATTAGAGTGGAGGACCAGCTCAGATGTGAAGTGTATGAGTAGCAGAGTTTTAGAGAAAGTGCAATTCTCAGCCCCAGTAGGTTTCCTGTGTCAAGGGTAGGGTCCTAAAAGAAAAAGGGTAGGATCCTGACACTTGAGATAGGGACATCTGGGTAGATGCAACTAAGAATCCTGAATCCCCAGATTCCTCTAAACCTTCTCTCAAATCATTTTGATTTTCCTTTGTCTCTAGTGTTCTGAAGTAGTGTGGATTTATTTTTATCCTTGCTATTTAGCATGTAGTGGGTCTTTCAGGTTAGAAGTAAAATTCTCGGGCAGCCCTGGTGGCTCAGTGGTTTAGCGCCACCTTCAGCCCAGGGCCTGATCCTGGAGACCTGGGATGGAGTCCCACATCGGGCTCCCTGCATGGAGCCTGCTTCTCCCTCTGTGTCTCTGCCTTTAAATTTTTTAAAAAAGAAGTAAAATTCTCCACTTCCGGGATATTTTCTTGGTTTATTTCAATTTATTTAAAATTTATTTATTTATTTATTTTTTAATTTATGATAGTCACACAGAGAGAGAGAGAGAGGCAGAGACACAGGCAGAGGGAGAAGCAGGCTCCATGCACCAGGAGCCCGACGTGGGATTCGATCCCGGGTCTCCAGGATCACGCCCTGGGCCAAAGGCAGGCACCAGACCGCTGCGCCACCCAGGGATCCCCTCTAGGTTTATTTCATTGATGGTTTGTTAGTTTTCTTTCTTTTTTTTAAAAGATTTTATTTATTTATTCATAGACACACAGAGAGGCAGAGACACAGGCAGAGGGAGAAGTAGGCTCCATGCAGGGAGCCCGACACGGGACTCGATCCCTGGTCTCCAGGATCACACCCCAGGCTACAGGCGGCGCCAAATCACTGCGCCACTGGGGCTGCCCCATTGTTAGTTTTCTTATCGTTTTTTTCTTTTTCTAAGATTTTACTTATTCACGAGAGACACAAAGAGAGGGGCAGAGAGAGACACAGGCAGAGGGAGAAGCAGGCTCCCTCAGGGGAGACTGATGCAGGACTCAATCCTAGGACCCTGAGATTACACCCTGAGCCAAAGGGAATCGCTCAATCGCTGAGCCACCCAAGCGTCCCCCTCTTTTTTTTCCTTTTCTAAAAAAATTTTTATGAAACATAGTCAACATGCAAACATTCTATTAGTTTCAGGTGTACTTTTTTCCTGTTTTCTATATCACTTGGTCTTTCTGGAGATTTCCTCACCTTTGTCATTAAAACCTTTATACAGGGGCAGCCTTGTAAAATCTTTAAAATAAAATATAAAAAATAAAATAAAAAATAGAAAATAAAATCTTTAAAAAAAATTAAGGGCAGCCCCGGTGGCGCAGTGGTTTAGCACTGCCTTCAGCCCAGGGCCTGATCCTGGAGACCCAGGATCGAGTCCCACGTTGGGCTTCCTGCGTGGAGCCTGCTTCTCCCTCTGCCTGTGTCTCTGCCTCTCTCTCTCTCTCTCGTGTCTCTCATGAATGAATAAATAAAAAATGTTTAAAAAAAAAATTAAAATAAGGGCAGCCCTGGTAGCTCAGCAGTTTAGCGCTGCCTTCAGCCCAGGGCCTGATCCTGGAGACCCAGGATCAAGTCCCACGTTGGGCTCACTGCATGGAGCCTGCTCCTCCCTCTGCCTGTGTCTCTGCCCCTCTCTATCTCAGGAATAAATAAAAAAAAATTTTCTTAATTAAAATAAAATCTTTTTACAGTTTTTCATTTCTGCCATCACATTTTTTTAAACTCCTCAAAGTTCATTCTTATTTTGTTTATTCCTCTTTTGCAGGAATACCTTCTTTATGGATGTATCATCTTTTATTTCTAAGGACATTAAAACGTGCCCTTGCTAAATCTTCATCTTTCTGCAGGTATGTTTCTCCCAAGTCGCTTCTCTTGTCTGAGTCCACTGTTCATGCTGGAGGCTATCCACAGATATCTGGTCATCTCCAGCTCCATGTGTTTAAGGTGGTACTCTGAAAAGCTGATTAGAAAAATCAATTGTGGGCAACCCCGGTGGCCCAGCGGTTTAGCACCGCCTTTGGCCCAAGGCATAATCTTGGAGACCCAGGATCGAGTTCTGCATTGGGCTCTCTGCGTGGAGCCTGCTTCTCCCTCTGCCTGTGTCTCTGCCTCTCTGTGTCTCATGAATAAATAAATAAAATCCTAAAAAGAAAAATCAATTGTAAGGGTGCCTGGGTGGCTCAGTGAGTTCAGAATCCAACTCTTGGCTTTGGCTCAGGTCATGATCTCGGGGCTGTGGGATAGAGCTGGGCTCTATGCTCAGCAGAGTCTGGTTGAGATTCTCTCCCTCTGCCCCCCGCCCCCACTCATACGTGTGCTCAAACTGTTTTTTTTTTTTAAGATTTTATTCACCTATTAGAGACAGAGACAGAGAGAGAGAGAGAGAGAGACAGAGGCAGAGACACAGGCAGATGGAGAAGCAGGCTCCATGCAGGGAGCCCGACGTGGGACTCAAACCCGGGTCTCCAGGATCACGTGCTGGGCTGAAGGCGGCGCTAAACCGCTAAGCCACCAGGGCTGCCCACGTGTGCTTTTTCAAATTAATTAATTAATTAATTAATTAATTAAGAAATTGTATCCTTACATACTAAAAGGAGAAAAAAGTCAGAGGACATGTTCTACTAAATACAAGTCTGCAATTTTAAAATGTGAGTAGGCACAGAGACAAATAGATTAAAAGGACAGACAGAAAGGCCCAGCACAGGGAACCATGTGTATTTGTGTGTGTGTGTGTACAAAATATATCCATATCTGTACATACATATGCATATGTATTTTTCCAAATACAATAAAATGAAGTTGGTCCCATGGTTCTTTTTTTTTTTTTTTTTAGATTCCATTTATTTATTCATGAGACACAGAGAGAAACAGGCAGAGACATAGGCAGAGGGAGAAGCAGGCTCCATGCAGGGAGCTCAATATGGGACTCAATCCCAGGACCCTGGGATCATGCCCTGAGCCAAAGGCAGACAATCAATTGCTGAGCTGCCGAGGCATCCTGGTCCTGTGGTTCATACCCCATAGGAAGATAAATTCTTGATGGATTTAAAAACTTAGATGTAGGGATGCCTGGGTGGCTCAGTGGTTGAGCATCTGCCTCCGGCTCAGGGCATGATCCCGGAGTCCTGGCATCAAATCCTGCATCGGGCTCCCCACAGGGAGCCTGCTTCTCCCTCTGCCCCTCTCTCTGTCTTTCATGAATAAATACATAAAATCTTTAAAAAATAATAAATAAAAACCTAAATATAAAAAGCAGAACTAATAAAACTTGTAGAGGATAAAGAAATACTTTTTTAACCTTGGGTTGGGGAGATTCCTAAGATATAAAGAGCACTAACCATAAAGAGAAATATAAACAACTTCTTGGGTAATAAATCAACTTCTGTTCACATAAAGATATAATAAAGAGAAAAGACAAAATTTCATGATTATATCTTTGTTCTTATGATTTGCTTCCTTAGAAAAATCCCTTTATTGTCATTTTAGTGAAATTTCAAGAAAACAGAGGTAAATAAATGTTTAAGATCTGCCACTATAAGCCACAGTGCTAAAGTTTTGTTTTTGTTTAAAGGTTTATTATTTGAGAAAGAGAGAGAGAGAGATTGAGCAGGGGGGTAGAATGGGGAAAGAGTGGGAAGGGAAAAAAAAAAAAGAGTGGGAAGGAGATAGACAAGCAGACTCCGAGCTCAGCATGGAGCCTGATGCAGGGCTCAATCTCATGACTGAGATCATGACCTGAGCTGAAACCAATAGTTGGATGCTCAACCGACTGAGCCACCTAGGTGCTCCTAAGAATTTCTTTAATGAGAAAAAAAAATCTAGCAACGTTTGTCCTAGTTATATTTTCCCCAACATACATGGGGCGGGGGGGGGGGGGGAATACATACCCACTAAAGGAAAAAATATTTGCCAATGTATTTCATCAAATTACCTCGTGAAATGTCCGATCGTAGTGATCCCACACCTGGGGAAGCAGGTGTCCCTACATTTCCACACACACTTCCGCTTGTTAGACTAATGCATCCCTGTGTAAATTTTCCTGGAATTGTCTCTAGGTATCTCCTCCATAAGAATACTCATTTTCTACCAGTACCTGACCCTATTTATCAAATCAGGGTTGGGAAGCAGAACAAAAAATTAAGAAGTAAGAATATGTGGGCCAAAATAATTTGGGAAGCCCTGGATGGTACTACAAAGTAGAAGAGCCTCCGCTCACCCTGCGCAGCAGGCGGGTCCCACCGACTGGAGAGAGCTTGGGAGGCCTTTAAAAAAAAAAAGGGTAGAACAGCCTAGACAAAACTAAGACCAAGGAGTTAGCATAAATAAAGGTTTTATTGGTCAGTTTAGGTGAGTCACATACTGACATTACCCCCAACTCACTGTTCCATACACCCAAGACCCTGAGGTGGCAGGAGAAGCTAAGCCCACTGACAGTGAGCGAAGGGTAGAAAGAATCTGAAGGCCTCCGAGGGTTAACAAGGCTACCGGGACCGGAACCAACGTCCTAGAAATAAATCCAGGATGGAATAGGCATCATCCAGGGCTGGAGGTGTTGGTGATTCTGGATCTAAGGAGAAAGTGATACATACAGACACACTAAATGAAAAAGAATGGGCAGTGGACAAGGAGAAGAATATCAAAGGCTGAAAAAGTATGTGTGTTTTTTGCCCAAGGAAATAAGAGATGGACCTTTTTGATTCACACACTTTACTTACCATCTCTAGGACTGCCATCTGCTTCTTGATGGGTTACTGTGGTCTCTGTCCGGCCCTCACTATCCACCACAGTCCGGCGCTCCTCTACTGTCTACAAGGAGAGACCCCAACCATATCTCTAAGATCAATACGAGTGAGTTCACAGGTTTCTTTATATAGATTGCTCTTCCATGGCATCCTCTGGCCACATTTCCCTTTACTCCTCTGTTCCAACTCACCCCATCTGGCTTAGTGATCTTAGTCACCATGACGCTCTTGAAATAGGATTTGGGCTGGGGCTGCAGAACTGGGCCGAGGCCTTCCTGGGAAACCTGCGAATCAAGATCTAGAAGGGCAGAGAGGAAACACGAAATCAAGAGTCCAAAGGAAAAGAAGGGGCCAAGTGTGACAAGAAGAAATGTAAGGGAGAGAGAACAGAGGGTACGTTAAATGTCCCCTCCCTCCAGACTCACCATTATCTTCTCTGGCTCTAGAACGGGGGGTCACAGGCCACTTATCATCAAACTGTAGAAGGCAAAATAGGTGAAATGATACCTTTCAATCTGAAACTTGAGAGGTCACAGAATCCAAAATATTCCTAAGTTCCGTAACTACTTTTCCCCTGGGACAGAGGATTCCACTCAGGATAGCTTTATTTACTCACCCCTTTTTCTGTCCTACCCGTTCAATCTATCTTTCCACCAAAAGGCTCTCCTCAACTGACACTCTATCCTATCTAACAATCCGTCTTGTCCCAGAATCATACAGACTGGTGATTTTTTTTTTTGAAGGTTTTACGCATTTGAGAGAGACAGGGAGTACAGGAGGGGCTGAGGGAAAGGGAGAAACAGACTCCCCACTGAGCAGGGAGCCCAATGTGGGGCTGGATCCCAGGACCCCAGGATCACGTCCCTGCATGGAGCCTGCTTCTCCCTCTGCCTGTGTCTCTGCTTCTCTCTGTCTCTCATGAATAAATGAATAAAATCTTTAAAAAAAAGTTATAGGGCAGCCCAGGTGGCTCAGCGGTTTAGCGCCGCCTTCAGCCCAGGGCGTGATCCTGGAGATCCGGGATCAAGTCCCGCATCGGGCTCCCTGCATGGAGCCTTCTTCTCCGTCTGCCTGTGTCTCTGCCTCTATCTCTCTCTCAGGAATAAATAAATAAAATAAAATAAACCTTTTAAAAAAAAGTCATAAAAAAAATAAAGAAAAAAGCAGAACTCCCACCCTCATGCGCCCCCTCCGCCCAATCCTACAAGGAGCTTAAAATAGAAAACAGATAAATACACTAGAAGTGGAGAACCTAGGATCCCAACCCAACTTTGCTAGATTCTGACAAGCTCCAGTCTGTGCTTTATTAGTTACCTCCCGCAGGCTCTCACTTGGGGCCCAGAAGCACTCACCAGACCAAAAGGTCTCTGGGAGCCCCAGTCTGGGGCTGGTTTGGAGGATTCACTTCTTGTATCACTCTCCAAGACCCCCCCAAAGATCCTGGGCTGGTGACTATCTGGATACTTAAGCATTGAGTCCCGAAGTGTCTGTCCCTCCCGGCGTCTCTCACCAGGTGTCTCTGATTCAGGACCAGGACCTGGAAGTTCTGGGAAAAGGGGGCAGATGGATGCTGGGGGTGGGAGAGGACCTGGGCTCCTCACAGCCTTGATATTATCATTCTTCTCACCCCCCCCCCCCCCAGCTACTCTCTTCAGGCTCCTGGCTTCACCCACTAACCCAGGAGAAACCAGAGGTGCTCCAGGGGCAGCCACACACCAGAAGGGCGGGAAGGCAAGGTCCAGGCTTCCATCTCGCTGAAGATGTTATTAAAATCACGAATCAGGTCATCAAAGCCGAAGTTATCATGGAAACGCATCCCTCCTGGAGTGAAGGTGAAGCCAAAGCCAAATTCTTCCGGGGCCTGGGGACCCTCAGACCTCGAGCTCCCATGGCTCCACGGGGCTGCTTTTTCCTCCTCTTCCTCATCGTCCTCATCTTCATCTCGAGTCATCCCTCCAAAAAAGGGATCTCTGTGGCTGGGAGTGAAGGTAGATTGAGCACCAGAATCTCAGCCACACCTTCGGCCGCACAATCAGCTCCGGGTGGCCGAGGAGCCAAGGGCAGAGGTCTGCGCACCGAGGTGCGGGAGTGAGGCTGGCGGGGCGCCGTCGGGCTTCCGTCTGTGTCAGGGTCGGTCCTCACCTCGCAGGCAGGCCGTGCCCCTGCCCCCCGCGCCCCACCCCCGCCGGGCCCCCACTGTTTCTCCCGCCCAGGCCCCTGTTGCATCACCCCAGACTGGAGAAAGGCTTAAACTGCGGTTAGTCCTCTCAGCGGCCGCCCAGGTGACCGCCGCGGGGCGAGTGCGCAGACTTCTGTCCTCTCCGCAGCTGGTGAAGGAGTGACGAAGAGGACGGCTTCCCAAGAACTGGGTGTCAGAGATCAAGCTCCCCTCAGGACACCCCACCCTCGTCCGACCCCGACCCACTCTAACCTCCGAGGTCCAGAAAGGCCGAAAAAGCCCCGAAAGAGATCAAAGAAGCTCATCCCCATTTTGGGACTCGAACCTGCAGACCCCACCGAGGCCCATTCGCACCTGGCCACAGCTGCACTCCGCCGCCGGAAGTTGAGAGCAGCGTCGGGCCGCCTGCCGGAAAGCAGGCCGGCGGCGCGGCACGCTGTCGTAACACGACCGTCTGCACGGCTCAGGCGGCGCGGGGCGCCGCCCGGTCCCGAGCCGCCCGCCCTGCCCGCGAAGGGAGCGGGCGAGGGCCCGGAACCCTAAGCCGCCTTCCTGTCCGGGACCGGCCGCCGCCGCCAGGGGGCAACCTCCGCCCAGCGAGCCGGTGCGGCAGGTGTTCCAGGCTCGGCGTTTGAATCCACGGGTCGGTTGGGGATGCTCGGACTTGGCGCTCCTCGGCCAAGGGGCGTGCGGTGACCGTGACCGATCCTAGCTGCCCTAGGCAGGTTCTGCAGCCTGCAGGCACAGGCTTGGCAAGAGAGCCGGGGAAATCCCGTAAGCTTTGCCGGGGGAGGAGTTTGGAGCTGTAAGTAACCCTCTGCCTGCCCCCTGACTTTCAAGCCTCTCCTTTCCTGCGCCCCCACCCTCCCTGCACCCCGGCCCCGGTCTCCTGACCCCTCCTTTTCAAGGGGCCAGCAGCACTCAAGAAGCAGGAACTGCATGCCCCCCCCCATTGTCCTGGACCATCTACAGTACACGACCGCTCCCCAAACCCACTCTCCAGCTTTCTACCCTGTGTCTGCTGTCCATTCCTGTCACAGCCTGAAATCTGCAGAGGAAGCAGCTTCTGGAGGAAATGAAAATTTGCAGCAGCTCCTTCTAGGCTGTGAAGCCCCTGGGGAAGGAGAGGGAATCCCAGCAGGGCAGGTGAAGGCAGAAGCTCTCTTTATTCTGGGGCCTCCAGAGCCTGCCAGGGGCCCAGCTGGAACGGAATATTCATTCACCGAGCTGGCTGACCAGACTGTCTTAGATGAGCAAGAACGGGCAGAGGCTGAAGGTAGAGGTTTTCTTTTTATATATACAAGACACATTAATCCATTGAATTCGAGGACACAGTACAAAAAAAAAAAAAACACTTCAACTAATTCATCTGACAATGCTGTTCATATTCATGACGCCATTTTGTTGTTGTTTTGTTTCCTAATAATAAAGGAGGAGACGTAGGGCTGTTGGGCTGATATATATTTGGGGGTCCCCCTGCCCCACCTCACCTATACACCACCAGGGTGAACAGGAGGAGAAGGAAGGCGGGGCCCACAGCAAAGTTTCATAATCTTGAATGCAAGGGGGGGAGGAGGAGAGGAAAGGAAAAAAAAAAAGGAGAAAATACAAATCCTATAATACATACAACAGAGTAGGGGTGGTATGGGGACGGGACAGACATGAAGCTGAGGCATGGGGTGGGACACTGGAGGTAGGGGCAGCGGAACCCCCCCTTCCTCTTTCTCTGATGCCGTTTCCGTGGTTGCCGGGCGGGAGGGGGGTCGGGCCTCAGTTAGCCCCCCAGCTGTAGCTGTTGTAGGCAGACTTGTTGGTCTGGGGCTTCTGCGGGATGGAGCTGGTCTGGCTACGTTGCCCGCTGCCCGTCTGCAGGGAATGGGATGATGAGGAGGAGGAAAAAGGTGTCTGGTTAGTGGGACAAATCTGTGATATCTGCAGGTAGAGCTCTGGAAACTGTCTTGCTCTCCCACTCCCCTTGCTTAGAAATGACTCTGAAGTTTACTTCCCCACCACAGAAAATTTGGTTTCTATAGGTGCTAGAGGACCTGTGACAGGGAAGAGAGCATTTTCAAGCTTTGAACAGGGGAACAACATAAAGACGGCAGAATACCTTTTGGAGACAAGACAGTGAATGAGTTCTCCCCACTTTCAATTCCACTTTCTCCCTCCACTCCCACCTACACTGCTCTGAGAAAAGGCTCTCTCTCTCTAGAGAGAATCACAGCCTCCTGGAGAGGAGTGATCACACGGAGATTTCATTTTCATCAATCCCATGAATACCTCAATTTGGAAAGCTGTCTTATCCCAGCTCCTCAGCCACCCGTGATGGAGGAGAGGTCACTTGTACCACCCCAAGCTCCCCACCCCTACCACACAGCACAGCTGAGAGCCCACTGCAGGTGAGGTAGGAGAGACAGTCTGAGGCCCCAGGCTCCAGGGGCTGCCCCAAGAATCCTTTCCATTCCAGTAACCAAGTGCTTCCAGAGTCAGGGAAGGGCAGAAAGAAAGAGGGCACTGGGGAGGGAGGACAAGAGAGGAATGGGAGGCCAGAGAGCTCAGCGAGGTGTCTGTGTTTGTGTGTCCTCATCTGTGACCGTGCAGCCTTTCCAAGTTCCCTGACGCTGTGGAGGTGAAATGGGGGCTGGAAAGGAGTGGGTTCAAGCACATCATCATTCAGTTTCATTACCTGCTCCTCCTGCTGGCGCTGGCAACAGAGAATCATCTGCAAATATGGTAGCTGAGGCAGAACCAGGATATATGGAAAATAAAGGGACAAACTTTGACAATAGAACTCCACCATTAGAAGGGAAAGCTACAATGTCAGGGAATGGGGGAGGCTGGGAGAGGTTGGAGGGGAGGCGTGACCCAGGTCTGATGGGATGAGGCAGCTGTGTTATAGGAGGCAGAAGAGAAAGGCCCCAAAGGAAATTTCAGCCTGGCCCCTTCTCTGACATCTCCTCTGCCGGCAGCTGGTGTTATGTGCACTTGTGTGTGTATGTGCTGTGTGCCCATGGCTGGCGCTGGGAGGGTTAGGTGAAGGTGGTTGTGAGGAAGGGTAAGAGAAGGAAAGGGAGGCAGTTGTAGGGGACAGGAAGGAAGAGGAAGGGAGAGGAGAGGGGGAGGGCTATTACCTGGCCATCCTGCTGCAGGTGATGGTGGAGGATCTGGGAGTGCGGCTGCTGATGGGGGGTCAGAATGTGCATAAAGGGGGCAGGTGGGTAGGCAGCAGCTGTGGCCGGATTGATGGGCCCCCCACTTCCTAGGGCTGAAGGCAAGTTGAAGGAGGCAGCAGGAGTACCGGAATGAAAACCTTGTTTCTCAAAGGACTGCTATCCAGAGGGATGGGGAGAGACAGTAAAAGGGGTCAGCAAACCAAGCCCTGGAGTTTCAGAGCCCAAGTCCCCCACCCCCCAAGAGCAGTATGCAGCAGAACAGCAGCACTAAAGGCACGTGCGTGGGTCTGCTCTGTTCTCCAAGGGCTGTGGGATCCTGAGAGAAGTACTCACTCATTCTGATCTTTGCTCACACATAACCCAGGGGTGCTGACTCCCAGCTGTCAGCACAGCAGGAGAGGACGGCTGTGAGCGTGCTCTGGGACTCTACCATCACAAACCACCCCCACCGTGCAGCTCGGGCATCCTGGTGGCAAAGGTCTCGGTCACCAAGTGCTCCACCACAACTCCTAACACTGCATGTATCAGGCTTAATAGTTCAGATGCACTCTTCCGTTCCCACCTTTTGTTTTTACAAAGAACGGAACAAACTAGTTTCCCTTCATTCCATTCTCTTGGAAAGTTGCAAAAAGGCTCGTGGTATGGAAAGAAAGTCAGGACAGTTGCACAGTAAGTCTCAAGACACATCACAGCCACCTGCCACGTCTTACTTTCCTGGCACACTTCTCTCACCTTTCTCAAAGAGCTAAATTTAAAGTTCTTTGAGAAACAAATCTAGAGACCACTCATCTTCTAGGACAGGTTTCCTACACCTCTTGGGGTCGTGCTTGTTCATTGGACTTCAGTCACTGCAACACCACCTCCTCTATGCCCATCTCTTTCCACTTCTACCCAGAGCTAGGCACCTACCTGGGTTTTGGAGTACACAGAACCCGAGATATCTGGCACGCCCGTGTTACTGGAGGTGACTGATACACCTGGGGGAGGAGGAAACAGACAGGAGGATTAGCTGGGCTAGCTGCTGCCCCTCTCTAGGCAAGGAGATGGCGTGTGCGGCCTTTCTAGTTATCACACTGCAAGGGGACTCTGGTCTGTTTTTCCAGCTCAGGTCAGCACCGAGAGAGATGAGAGCTCATGACCCAAATCTCTTGTCCTTTCCAGGTATGTACTGAGAATGTATGTGAGAAAGCGAGCTGAGCTACTTTTTGTGGGGCAAGCGGATATAGCCAAATCTCACTAGCATATAGTTTTCAAAACACTTTTGTGCCAAAGCTGAAAAGAAATGTAATAAAATTTTAATGTCCATTTCAAATCAACCCACCCAGACTCCGCTCAGTCCTGCTCCTAAGACAGGTAATCTGGGCTCTTCCTGTTCAGAAGAGACCTTTGGGCTCAGGATCTGTGCTTTCACAGCATAAGAAAAGTGCTCAAGGAGCAATCCAATCCAGCCCCAAGAGCATGGTCCGTTCTTGGAGTCTCAGCTTCCCTGGCCCGGCTGCTCCAGTCTTGGCTCTTTTCGGCTATGTACTTATGACTTAACGAGCTGATGGAGAGGTGCACTTCCAGCTAACTAATTTAAGCCTAAGCATGGGGAAGGGAGGGGGTTAGGAAGGCAGTGGGGGTAGGCTATCTCCTACAGTCTACGTGGAACACAAAACCTGACATCCTCGTTGTTTACAACTTGAGCTTCTCCATGAGACACGGGCTCTGATCCATACTCCCACCAACCTGCACATTTCCTGGTGAACTCCCTCCTACCACTACCACCACCTAAAAGAAACTAAAGCAGTACCATTCCTCATTTTAATTTCTACTCCCTAAACTGAAATACATATAACTACTCTCAGGTATGGGGCCATGGGTCAGGAAGACAGGAAAAAGTCATCAGATAACATAATCCAGCATCTTACTAGAGAGATTTTATGCCAATATTTGAGGAAAAATAACTCCATTTAATTTGGAATTTAAAGCACACTTTTAAGGAAACATTCAGTCTCATCACAGGAGATAAAATGAAACCAGAAAAACTGCATTTCAGCCTGTGTCC